ATTCCTGAATTTTCTCATGTGGGCAAAAGTCTTGAAAAGGGAGTCAAAAACAAGAGAAGTAGAATTACACAACCGGTACGAATATAACATTGCTTCAAACAAATTAGAGGGCAATTGTATCGAATCCGAGACAAGAATGGTCCTCAAAATAGATTCTGCAGATTTGAATTTCCTGTTTCTTGTGAGAATATGGAGAATAATTGAATTTGTTTCAAGGGTATGTACAGTGGGATTTTGACTATTTACCCAGTTGAAAAATTCGAGTGAAAGAACATGGTCCTTCTGAATTCTTAACAATACATGTTTTACTCTAAACGCTGTCAACCCACTTGATAAAGGGTCAAGCTTATTCCAGTCAGAGTGGATCAGATGGCTATGAACAACATTAACGAAATCAAAATCTTGTCCTTTGGGTTCTGGAATTGTTCTGTGGGGTATTGGAATCGGATTCCAATTCCTTCTTCCCAAAATCCCACGAGACATAATAGAGTTAGTAATCTGATTACTCATGAATTAGTAATCAGATTACTGATTTCATATCCAGAGCAAACTGGGTCTTGCTAAACAAACAGAAACAAGGAAGAAACATGAACATGAAGAAGGTGTGAAGACCCACTAACCTGACGATCCTTGCAAAGGAAACTCAGTGGGTAATTTCAACAAACACTTTGCGATCAAAATTTATTCGCTACTATTATGGCAAATTCATGTTGTTTCTTTTTTTTTTTTTAAAAGCAATTTTCTGAAACTACGGGACTTTCATGGAAAATTTTCCCGACAACTCAAGAAAGGAAAATAGGGAAAGCAAGTTTCGGGGTGAGCTTACACGATCACTGGCTTTCCAAACGACCCCAGAGCATATTTGAACTTAGTAGCGGTAATCATATGCCTAATTCATGGTAGAGATGTCAAATGGGCCAGGCCGTCATAGACGGCCCGGCCCAGCCCGTAATAGTATCGGGTTTGGCATGACCCGGTCCGCTAGTGTTAAGGGTCGTGCTGGCCCGGCACATGTAATGGGCTAGGGCTGGGCCTTGACTTCTCAACCCGCGGCCCAAGCCCAGTTCGATTCAAGCCCGGATTCGGCCCTGGTTCGGCTCGGCCCAGGCCCGCAAAACGGGCCATTCTAAATGCTATTGTTGGGCCTTCGCGGGCCCAATGGTCGGCTCGTGACGGGCCTCCTGTTTGGCCCGTCACGGGCCTCCCGTTTAGCCCGTGATGGGCTGCCGTTAGGCATGTCACGGGCCGCCCGTTGGGCCCGCGAAGGGCCCAACGTTAAGAATCTGAAAACGCTAAAAAAATCTCCTATAAATACCCCTTAATTCCACCCTAAATCCCACACAACAATTCACTCTCAACTTCTCATCTCACTCTCATTCTATCTCTCATCTTATCTCTTTCCTTTTGATTCTAAGCTTTTTTCTCGCGATCACTCATTTTCTTGCTCTTTCATTTACAAAGTTCACGTTCAATTAATTTTCAGAAAATGGCCGCATCAAACTTCCCTGATTTCACTGCTCTTCCTGAGCTTGGTAATGAGGCATTCTTTGAGGATGAAATGATGCCTCCCAACCCAACCCCTACTGAACCAGAAAATGCTCTGGTATATAATGCTTTAGTGCACAATGAGGAAGCTGGAGAACGCAGCAGGGGAAAAAGACCGCGAACTTCTCTGGCACGACAGCATTTCACTGAAGAGCCCTGACCAAATTCAAAAACAGGTGAAATGGAAATTTGTGTGGTATGTAAATATTGTAGAAAACACTTTTCTAATAAAAAGGGTGGGGGTACTGGTCATCTGGATAGACATTGAAAAGTATGTCTACCGTTACACCAAGGTGGGAGTGTGGACTCCCGCCAACAAACACTATCACTCACATCACAGGGGTTACAAAATTTTACATATGATGCACAACGTGCTCGTGAGACACTAGCTAAATTTCTAGCTAGTGTCGAATTGCCTCTTTCTTTGCGCCGTCGAAGAGTTCATCCAAACAGCCTTCTGCCCACAATTTAAACGGGTAAGTAGAAACACAACTCGTTCTGATTGCATGAAAGTATTTTATGCAATGAGACAATATCTTGTTGATAATTTTAAGACTTTTAAAGCTACAGTCTCTTGCACTTCTGATCTATAGGAAAGGTGCAATAAAACTGGATATTTATGTGTTACGGAGCATTATGTTGATGACGAATGGGTTTTACAAAAAAGAATATTTGATTTTCGTTTATGTCCATATCCTCATAACGCATCATCTATTTTTAGTACAATAATGGAAATTTTTGGGTTTTATGGGATAGAAAATAAAGTTTTAACTATTACTTTTGATAATGCGTCAGCTAACACGGCTGCAATTAACATGTTTAAACGTAGTTTGAAACCAGCGTTTGGGGGGGGGG